TGCGGTTCTCGCCTTAGCGCCGCGCGCATTCTTCTTAAACATGTGCAAGAGCTTCACGGAGTGAGGGCGGCTCCTGTTCAAAATGTTGTTCTCGCTTTGGCGCCGCGCACACTCCTTTTGAACAGTTGCAAGAGCTTCACGGATTGTGGGTAGTTCCTTTTCAAAATGTGGTTCTCGCTTTAGCGCCGCGCACACTCCGCTTCAATAGTTGTACGAAGTTCACGAATTCCCATATTCAACGTACCAGACATTGTGTTTCATAACGATTCAAGCTGATGAGGTCGCACAAGTTACGTTGGTTCGCGGTGTTAAAGTCCCAGGAACGGCTTCCTGTCACAATTCAGGATCGGCAACGCGCACTAGTCAGGTTGATCCGTGGCGTTGGGATCCCGAGAACAATGATTTGGCATGCTTCAGGGTCTGCAAGCAGTTGTCTTCCAACAAGGCAGCTCCGTCAGTAAAAATGTAACGTTGCAGGGGCCTGTGAAGAGGCAGCTCGTAGGGAGGCTTTATTCCAACATCATTGATGCTTCTTGGGTTCACACTGGTCCTCCTCCTCATCTTCCTCCTTCCCTCAGTGGGATGGTGGGTGATCTTGGGCTCACCGAAGGGGGCGGTGCCGCCCCTTGCCTCCACTTGTGTCGGCCATGCGCAGGGCACCCGCGCGGCTGCTCCAGCAATGTCGTATCTTCCTCCTCCTCCTTTTCCTCCTCCTCCTCCTCCTCCTCCTCCTCCTCCTTCTTCCCTTCTCCTCATCCCCTTTCTTCTCCTCACACTTCCCGCTCTTCGTTTATTATCCTCCTCGTCCTTCCTCTTTCTCTTCTTCTCTCCATTTCCTCCGCCATCCCCGCCCCCCTCGCCCTTTCCCCTTCCCCCCAGCTTCCTCCTCCCTCTCCTCCCCGGGTGGAGGAAGGGGAGGAGAGAGGTGGGAGGAAGGGGAGGGAGGGGCGGAGGCTCCCCCCCCTCATTGTTCCCTCCCCGTTCCCTCCCCGGGCCCGGGTCAAGGCGGGGCCTGCCAGCGAGCAGCTGAGCGCCGCAGTGCGGAGCGCCGTGCGCCAAGAGCTGGCCGCGAGCTCGGGGGGGGGGGATGCAACTCCTGGGAGGTCAAATTCTGAATTAGCCCTGGTCCCGAAATCCCGCTTTATCCGGCTTACTCCCGCTGAATCCCGCTGAATCCGGCGCAATCCCGCTTGATCCGAGGCCCACCCTGGCGCAACAGAACCCCCATGGGGCCCACTCCCCCTCAGATCCTTCCGACGAAAGCCTCCCAGTAGTGGCCTCCTGAAGGCGGGGGGGGGGGGGGCGGAGCACCCCGCAGGAGCCCGGGGGAGCGGGGCCGCACGCACAGGGCCCGCGCGCACGGAGGCCCCACAGGATGCAGCCCCATGGGCCGGCGCGGGGCACGGCCGGGAGGCGCCCGCCCCCTCCTGGGGGCGTGCCGCGTCGCGGGGGCCCCGGCGGCCCGAGAGGGGGGCCTCCGCGGCCCACCTCGGAGGGCCCCCTCCGCGGGCCGTGCGCGCGCGGCCCCGAAGCTTGGAACCCCGCCACCGAGGAGGAGGAGGAGGAGGAGGAGGAGGAGGAGGAGGAGGAGGAGGAGGAAGAGCAGGAGGAGGAGGAGGAGGAGGAGGAGGAGGAGGAGGAGGAGGGGGGTGGGCCTTCGATCGTTTCCGGGGCCTTCATGAATTCTAGGCGGCTCAAGGGGTGCAGAGGGTTCTGCGAATCTGGGCTGGGGACGTTAGGGATGGGCACGGGGAAGGAAAGAGAAGGAGGAGGAGGAGGAGCAGGAGGAGGAGGAGCAGGAGGAGGAGGAGAAGGAGGAAAAAGAAAGGACCAGTGGAAACCCAAGAGTCATCAACGATGGTGGGATAAACCCTCCCTCCAAGCTCCCACTTCATAGGCCCCAACAACGATTCATCATGTCCGTTGGCAGGCGCGACAGGGGCGAGGATAATCATTTCCAAAACGCAGTAGTGGCAAAACGATGCGGCCTGTTCGAGCTTCACCAGGACGACTTCACCCATGCATCGGCCTCTGCCCGGTCCCGCCTGGACCGCTTATACTCCAATTTCCAGGCGTGCAAGCAATTGGACCGGAGGCTCCAGGTGGTGGCCCTACAGTGGCGACACGACTTGTCGCACCACCGCGCTGTCCTGGCCTCGTTCCGTTCCGCAAGCTGCCGGGAGGAAAGGGATCGACCGCTTCCGAACAGGGACCTGATGCGCAAGGATTTCCCACGGCGCTTGAATTTGGAGTTCCTCGACCGGCGGAAGGCCAACGTCGAGACGAATCCGTTGGCCAAGGTCCGCTTCTACAAAGAATGCATGCGGAGAGTTGCTGGCCGACTGGAAAAAGAATTCAGGTATCCGCCTCCAGCTGTCGACCTGGAGGACAAACTCACGGTTACGTTGCGCCTCATTCGGGCCATCGAAGGCGCGCGTCCCAACGCTGTTTCTTGTTGCTTGCCACGGTCACCAGAGGTCAAGGACTTAGCCAATAACCCCCACGACTTCTATAGCAACCTCACGAGGTCACTTGCGCGGCTCCGGGAATACGCAGTTGGATTGGCTCGTGATCACGCCCTTCAGGAACTCCGCCGTTCGCACGAGGACCTGAATCACCCCGACGGCCTGGTCGCCCTCCGCGCCAGGCAGAAAAACAACAGGCTGATCTTCAGGCTGGCGTCAGGCCGGGCCAACGCCATTGAGGCCGTCCGCGAGCCTTCGGGTGAGTCGACGATTTGCCCTTGAAAGATGGCTGCCACGTTCTCCGCTCACTGGACCAAGGTCTTCCACGCCAAAGGCATCAATAACGACCGACTCGCGGAGTGGTTGCAGGAAGATGGCGCCGCGCGGCAAGCCGCGGACTCTCTGCAGTTCGATACGAGCAGGCTGCGAGTCAAGCGCAAGCACATCCTCCAGGCGCTGCGCGGGTCGAGCAATTCTTCGCCCGGGCCCGATGGTACTCCATGTCTGGCGTGGAAGCGATGCTTGAAGTTCTCCGCCGCGCTCCTGCACCAGGCGGCGGAGTGCATCTTCCACGCCGAGGTCCAGGACATACCGCGCGAGGACACCGAGATGCTGAATGGAAGCCTTCTCTTCCTCGTCCCGAAGAAGCAATCGGGCGTCGCCAGTGAGGGGTCAACCATATGCGAACCAGCAAACACACGGCCGTTGAACGTGGCCAACACAGATTACCGCTTCTTGCGCAAAGCGGTTTGGTTTGCCATCGAGCCGGCGGTCTCTCAGCGCATTCTAGATTTACAGCGCGGATTTCTGAGTGGAAGGTCAATCTTCGCCCACTTGGTCGACATGGACAAGGCCATCATGGCGATGCGTTCGTCAGACAGCAGCGCCGCGATATTTTTCGACTTTGCCGCGGCCTCCCCGTCGATCGAACACGAGTTCATGCGCCAGGTGTTTGAACACCTTGCTTGGCACGACTGGCTGCTTCGATTCATCAGGGCGTTGTTCGCCTGCAAGAAGTGCGAGCTGGCCATGGGCGGGACTCGGCAGCAGGGCTTTGCGAGCACACGTGGGATTCGCCAAGGTCGCCCGCTCGCCCCGCTTCTATTCGCGGTGGCGCCAGACATCTTGCTGCGCCGGATCGCGCGCCAGGTGCCGGACAGAACGCTGCGCGCACGCTCGGACGACACAGCCTTGGTGCACCCCGACATATGGGGCGCGTTGCCCCAGATAGAGGTAATCCCCCCCGATTTCCAGCGAATGTCAGAGTTGGCACTCAACGTTGACAAGACTGCGTTTGTACCCCTATCCAGGGGGAGCTCGGAGAGCACCCGCGAGCGACTGGCGCGGGCCGCGCCGCTCTGGGGCTCCAGGAGCGTTGCCCGAAACGCCAGGCACCTGGGTTATGCGATCGGCCCCGGGCGCGGCGACCTGACCTGGGACGCCCCGGTCGGGAAGTTCACAGCGAGGGCGCGCATTTGGGGAGGCTTGGGCCTGGGGACTGAACACAATCTTGGCCCACCTGGTCTTCGTCCTGTCGACGACGCCGTTCGCTTGCCAGCTGGACCCGCTGCCGGAGAAGGCGCTGGAAGTGGAGGCGGCTGCGCTAAAGTCGCTATTTCGGGGGCCGTCTGGGAGGGCTTCGGGCTGTTAAAATCCTTCAAGTGGCTCGGCTTTCCAGCCGAAGTACCAGACCTTGACTCGATCGCGGTGGCCGCAAGGGCGAGCGTGGCTTTGCGCGAGAACATGAAGCAAGGCGGGCTGCGGGTCACCCAGAGGGCTCGTCAGCTTCGGCAATTGCTGAGCCGCGCAGACTGCGCGGACCGGGCGCTGCACCACGGCGGGTGGATTGGATCGAATTTTCCATTTTCGCTGGTTGCTGCTACCCTCAAGGTGCACGCCCTCCAGGACATGGCCCCAGCTGAGTTGAACGCCAGAGACGAGTGCCACAAGAAGGCGGGCTGGCAAGCTCGGGTCAGCAAGGCCTTGCGACCGCCGCTGGAGCTCGAGGCCCAGGCCCACCTCCGGCGCAGGCGGGGCCACTGGCAGGCACGCGCGATGCCTGGCCGCCGAGTGCAGTCTTTCATGAAGCACATGCGCCGCCTGGCCGGTCCAGTTGCCCCCCGCGTGCAGTCCGCGACCCTTCGGGCCGCCAGGTCGACGGCCAGCAGATTCGGAGGGCGGGCGCCGTGCTGCTTCGGCTGTCACCGAGGCTCAGACTCCATCAAGCACTACGCCGCTTGCGGTGAATTCCACGCGCTCCGCGCGCGCTGGCTGGGGCTCACATGGCCGCAGATGGCATGCCAGCTCGACGACTTCATCGGGCTGGGCATCACAACGGCACGTTCGGTTTACGCGCCTGCGGATGATCACGCGGATCGCTGTCTATGCGGCTTTCCAGGTGCAGGCTGCAGTGTGTCTCGGGGCGCCCATCGCTGACGCACCTGACCTTTTTCGCGGCTTCATACGCGAGGCCACGCGCGGGCACCCGGCCAGCGCGCGCACCGTGGCCCTCGCTCACAAAAGGCAGCGAGAGTAGTTCTTCAGCATCTTCCTCCCGTCGTCATCGTCTGGTCTTCTCCTCCTCCCCCTGGGTTGCCATTTCATTAGATCGTGCCGCCAATCGGCCGTTCGATACTCGAGTACTCAAGAGCGCGCTAGTTATTCTCGCCAGTGCTTTTCTACTTCTGGGATGTTGCTGTAATGCCGCTGGTCAATCTTTGCCTCGCATCGCCACGGAATGCACAGGTGGCTCGAGTGTTGTTGCGGTCGTCCCCTCCCTCTTGGCCCTCCTTTTTTCCCCAAATACTGCGCTGGAGAAAAACATCTCCGACTCCATTGAGGGAATTGCTTGGATGGAACACAACAGTTTGAAGACCCTGAAGCATGCCAAAACAATGTCTTCGGGAGTCCAACGCCACGGATAAGTTTGATTGTTGCGTTTTGGCGATATTGATGAATCGTGCCAGAACACCGTCCTTGAAACTTCAACACAGCGAATCAACGTAACTGCTACGCCCTCATAGGCCTGAGTCCTTCGAGAAAAACAGTGCTGGATGCTGAGCATGAGAAGCCGAGAAACTCTTGCATTGTGTTGCAACAAGTGTGCGCGACGCTGGGTCGTGAGCCACATTTTAAAGAGGAAGCGCCTTCAGTCCGTGAAACCTTTCCAAATTGTAACAACGAGTTTGCGCAGCGCTAAGGCGAGAGCCACATTTTGAAAAGGAGCTGCCCTCAATCCGTGAAGCTCTTGCAAAGTCCGCAGCGAATGTGAGTAAGGCGAAGGCCACATTTTGAAAACGACCGGCCTTCAATTAGTGAACCCTTTTTTTCGTTTTTATAGTTATATACATATATATAAATGTATTCTATTTTTAAAACGTGGAAAAGCGAATGTGCGCGGCGCTGAGGGGAGAGCCACAGTTTGAAAACCACCCTCCCTCCATGTGTGAAATTGTTGTCATATTCCCAGCGCTAGGGTAATACATAGTGAGGAAATCTCAGGCAAAACGCCCGGCCCACCGTGAAAACTTGTTTCTGGGTGCGACAGGGAGAAGTGATTCATACAAGGAAGAGACATGAAAGAGGAGGTGGAAGAGGAGGAAGAGGGCGGCAGGAAGTAGAAATGCAGACCCACCACGATTGAATCCCCCTGTAAGACCGCCACACAAGAAATCCTTGCGCACAAGCTGCTACAAAAGGCATCGAATCGTGGAAGCCACTGCTGACGTTCCACATTTTAAATCATGTTGTAGGGTCATACCCAAGGAATCCCATTGCAAAGGCTGCTACACACAAATGATTTGTGGAGGCCAGTGCAGGTCCCCAACAATTAAAATCCGTTTGCAAGACCGCCACAACAGAAACCCCACGTTGTAAAGGCTGCTACAAGAGGATTTAAACTGCGGCGCACCTGCACAAGAACAATATCTGCCGTCACATCGATCCCCCGGTTGTTTCCAATGTTTCTTTGAAAACGCATGTTTTGTCAGGTGGTTAACGTGTTTTTGTTTTCCTTTGTAATTTTCCTAGGACCATGGCGCCACCACTGCAAATCCACCACATTTGAAACCAGCTGCAAGGCCGCCACAAGAGGAATCCCTGTGCGCAGGCTGATACAAAATGGCTGTACCCGTGGAGGCCACTGCAGATGCCCTACAGTGTAAAACCGATGCACGGTCGCCAAAAACGAAGTCCTTTTGCAAAGGATGTTACACAAAGGGTTTCAATTGTGGGGCAGGTCATGGAAACGAGGCCGAGGATGACCAGGATTGGGGGGAGGAGAAATCGAGCTTCATATATGAGATGCACATATGCCAGAAGCGCGACATGCTCGTTGTAAACACAGAACAAGCCCCGGCTTTTAATCGCACGAGCGGCGGGTCCTATAGGCCCACCTCCCCAGGAAGCCAACACGTGTCAAAAACTTAGGCGAAATAAAGGAGTGTGGCTCCCTCGTTGAGGCCAACAAAGACTCTCTGACACATCGCGGCTCCCGTCGTCCAGACCCTGGGGGAGGGGGTATGGGGAGGGGTCAAAACACCCACCCGTCCGCAAGCCGTCCAGCTCACTCCCACCCGCCCTCCCTACACAAGTAACACCCGAGCCAGAGCATGTTCAGCGGTCGTCTTTGGATGGGCAGCTACTGGGAACCAAAGCCGACCCTAGGTGCGCGACGTTTGGGCGAGGTGCGCCACGCGTGTCAGGGGCGCCACGCGCGCCAGGCACCCCTGGGGCCCGAGCGTGCCAGGCACGCCTGGTGCGCCAGATGCGCCAGATGCGCCGCATGCTCCGAGTGCGCCAGGTGTGCCGCACACTCCAGCCGCGCCAGGTGCGCCGCGTTCGGGGCACGTGCAGAGTGCGTCAGGTGCGCCTGCGCACGTGACAGCACTCATCGGGAAACATGTCGGCCCCCGCCATCCTTGTCGAAAACTAATGCACATCATTGCCTCTGCTGGGCCTGCGCACAGCAGGCCACGCGCCACCACCCTCGCCGCTCCTGTCAAAAACCACTTGACAGGATCGCCGGATGGCCGCGCATGATCCAGATTTAGCCGCGAGGTGAATGTTGTGTTGTTTTTTGGTTGTCAAGATGCTGACACCACCGCCGTCCTTTTCAAAACAATGCGAAGTGCTCGCGGGCCTTACGAAGATGACTCAAGATTTTGCCCCAAAGTATACTTCGCATTAATTTTTGACAGGGACGGTGGGTTGGGTGGGGGGGGGGGGGCATCGGGTTGGCCGCGCATGCTCCAAATGTTGAGGCAGAGTGCGGTTTGTGTTGTTTATGACAGGGATTGTGGGGGGCGGGGGGGCATGGTGTCGGCATGGTGATTGGGGTTGGCCCCCGGTCGCTGGTCGCTTGGGGGAGGGGGTGTAGAATGATAACGAACAGTGATAAGCCCCTCCCTGAAGGGGGGGAGGGGAGATGGAAGAGGAAACTCTCTAAACCACTCACGCCCTGAAGGGCTGGTGAGACTTTTGCACTCCCACCCCGCACGGCCGACGCATCGGCGAAAACAACCCCCATCAAATTGTTCCCTTGAACTCGAGGCGTCCATGTCTCATGTCCTTCTGGTCTACCTTCGGCCTCTCTCGGTCGACCACGCGCCTTTGCACCCCTAGCAAGACCGCACTGCGGCGCCGCCGATCCTGGTCAGTCCTGGATGGCTCACTCTACGCACGAGTCCCGTTGGAGCATGGGGCCCGCTCACACAGCACGACTCCTGTCAGCCTTTTAGAACGGGAGTGGTCTAGAAAGCGCTGGCAAGGGCTGGGGGGTGGGGCCCTACATTCAGGACTCGAGGGCACCTGAGGACACTTCACTTCTGTAGTGCCCGCGGCACGTTGGCGGATAAGGAAGAGTGGTGGTGGAGGAGGAAGATGAGAGGTGGAGGGAGTGGGAGAAAGAGGGGGCGGAGGAGAGACAGGATGCGAAGGAGAGGGGATGAGAAGGAAACGGAGAACCAAACCAGCAGCAGCAGTTGTTGCAGCAACAACGGCACCAGGAGAGAGAAGGAGGGTCGCAGGCGATGTTTCTCCTCCAATCCCCGAGTTCCGACCAAAAAGTGTGGCCGCTCAGAAATAAAAGGGGGAGACCCTGGGATACACTCCAAGGGGGTTCTGAGGATAGCCGCCCCCCCATCGTAGATCCCAGGGTCTGGGGCCCAGCATTCCTGACTCGAGCACCCCGCGAGGCCTGGGAGAGCGGTCGGCGTGTCCCCTGGCAGAAGGGGGGGGAAGAGAAGAAGGGACGAGAAGTGTGGTACTTCTCTAGAGTTGCGGGCGGTCCGTGGAAAGGGAGGAGGAGGAAAAGGAGCAGGAGGAGGCGGAGGAGGAGAGGGAGGAGGAGGAGGACGAGGCAGAGGAGGAGGCGGAGGAGGAGGAGGAGGCGGAGGAGGAGAGGGAGGAGGAGGAGGAGGAGGAGGATGAGGCAGAGAGGAGGAGGAGGAGGAGGAGGAGGAGGAGGAGGGGGAGGAGGAGGAGGAGGGGGAGGAGGAGGGGAGGGGGAGGGGAGGGGAGGGAGGAGGAGGAGGAGGAGGAGGAGGAGGAGGAGGAGGGGAGGAGGAGGAGGAGGAGGAGGAAGAAGAAAGAAAGAAGAAGGAGGAGGAGGAGGCGGAGGAGGAGGAGGAGGTTGAGGAGGAGGAGGAGGGGGAGGAGGGAGGCGTCGCCCAGTGGGGGGGGAAGGGGAGGTTGAGCGTCGCGTAGTGAGGGGGGACGGGGGGGGGCGACAAATGGGGGGGGGGCAGCGACGGCTGCAGAAAAGGGGCTCCTCGGAGCCCCAAACGGGGGCCTTCAGGGCTATCCATCCCCCGCCCCATTCAGCGACGCCCACGGAGGTAGACGGAAGGAGGGGAGGACGGGAAAGGGCAGGGAAAGTTGGGCGCGAGGAAGCGACGGGAGAGAGGAGGGGCGCGACATTGCAGCGCAGAGGCCGTGTCGCGAGAGAGAGAGAGAGGGCGACACTTGCATTCCACGTCATGCTTCTCCGGTTCCCCTTCCCCCCTCTCGTCCTCATCCTTCTCCATCGTCCACCTTCCGCTGTTCCAGCTTCCTCCTCCGCCGGCGCCTCTCAATGAGGGATCGTGATCGCTGGGCGAATGTTCGGACCGTCTTGGGGCTGTGTTGGGGCTATCTTCAGCTCTCTTGTGTCACTCGTGGGGCACCGGTGCAATATTGGGAGATCCTGGGTCGTCTTCGGTACATGTTTGGCCGTATCCTGCGCCTCCTGGAGCCCTCTGAGGCTACATTGGTGGCGTATTGGCACCCTCTTAGGCTATATTGTGCCCCTTGTTCGCTCTTATCGACTCCGGAGAAACTGCCAACTCAGCTAGACGCTGTAAGGATGG